TGAGTGAGGGTAGAATTTTCTAGTCTCCGGGCCCGGCAGGCTGAGCTGGAGAGGCACCCAGCACTCCCAGGTGCCCTCCAGCACCCGGGGGAGGGAACCACAGACTGATGGCATCGGTTAGGGTAAAGCACTGCGCCAGGCACGTCACATAAGCCATCGCTTTTCTTCTTACAGCTGCTTTATGGTGTGGCTGCCATTCCGTAATCCCTTTTACAGATGAGGAAACCGAGGAAGGTAAAGGGACTCAGCTAGCGTAACAAGGTACCAAGGGCAGAGGCTGGGCAGAGGGCAGCCGTCCCCAAACACTGTGTTCTTTCCACACCGCATCCCTGGTCCCAGGCCTGGCCCTCAGACTTGTTTCTTGGTGGGATCAAAGTTGAAATCACACATGTAAGTGTTTTTTGAGCTGGAATGGACCTGGTGCAAGTTGCCATTTCGCAGGTGGGGAAACTGAAGCCCGGAGAAGGAAGGCGTTGTGTCCCGAGTCACCCAGGCCTGTCCCCTGATGCCCACTGGCCACTTGGTTCACGTGGGTAGAGCCAAGTGTCCCCGAAGCCAAGGCTGTCTGCAGTGGCCATTGGGACAGAGACTCCCAGCTCTGCAGGTTCAAAGCCTGGCTGTGGATCTGATCCCGCCTCTGGTCCTGAGAGTGTGGACGGCTCAGTGCACCTGTCCCCACGACTGTGACAACAACCCCAGGCCCTGTTGACAGGGTTCAGGAGCATCGGGCTGGTAGGCGAAGAGCTACCCCACGCTGTCTCTTATCTTAACAGGTTGTGTCCCCTACATTGACACGAGGGTGGGAAAGGGTCCAGCTTCCCATCTCAGCTCAGCCACTGTCCAGCATGTCACCACGGAGGTCCCTGGAGCCCAGTCGCTTCGTTGGTTGGCCATTACTTACTGAGGATTTCCTGGGAGCAGTCTGGCTGTCTGTGTGCTCGGTGCCGGGGAAACGAAGATGAAATCATGTCCCTGCCTTCAAGAAGTTGATGGGCTAGTTGGGGAGGCAGATCTTCAGTTAAACCATGACTAGTTCATGGAGTCTTTGCTCTAAAGGAGGATGTGTAAGGTACGGTGGACGCGTGGGGGAAATCAAGGTGGGCTTTCCAGAGGAGGCAGGGCTGAGCTGGGACTAGAAGGTTATAGGCCAGGTGAACAAAGCAGAGGTTATTGAGTTTCGAAAGTGGGTCCAGCGAGTACAAAGGAATAGATGTGTATAAGGGGATCGAGGGCTAACTAGAATAGTTGGAGCACAGGAGGTGGGGTGGAGGTAATGATGGCGTGGGGAAATTAAGTGGGCTAGGGGGTGACACCAGATGTGAAATCCTCACGTAGAGGTATTTGGACTTCATCCTCAGGGAAGGAGGAGGCATGAAGGATCATGGGACTGACACAACCAGATCTGTGTTTCGGAACGTTCTCTGGGCTGCATCAGAGATGGCCTGTTGGGGGTGGGGAGGGCAGCCAGGGAGCCAATGTAGTGACCTGGGTGCAAGCGGGTGAGGCACCCTCAGGTTGGGCAATGATGGAGAGGATGGAGGAGCGACAGGATTGGTGGACTGTGATTAATGGCTTGTGAGTGATGGGGAGAAGGGAGTTGGTTTCTGGCTTGAGTGACTGGGCAATGGTGGTGCCATTCATCCCAAGCGTAAACTGGATTTGTAGACTTGGTGGCGGGGTTGGGATTCATATGAATTAAGTTCAGGGCCTGATGATTTGAGGTGCTCATGGGACATCCAAAAGGAAACATCTGGGTGATGGTTGGTTTGATAGAAGGATTTGGAGACCAGAAGAAAAGTTAGGACTGAAGTTAGAGATCTTGGGTTATCACTCCAAATCAAATACAGATGAGTCAGGGGACTACGGAATGCTCTGGAAACGGTGCAGGATGGTTTTGGCAGAAAGGGTCAGTGCCCTGACCATGTACCCTTGGCCTTGCAACCCTGCAGCTCTGCCAGAGGACTTTCTCTGAAACAGGAATGTGCCATAAAATGAATCCCACACATTTTTTGGTTCCCACTGCATATAAAATTTATGTCGACTCGACACTGTAGTCTATTAAGTGTGCAACAGCATGATGTCTAAAAGATATGCATACCGTAACGGACAAATACTTCATTGCTAAACAATGCTAACCGTCCTCCAAACCTTCAGCAAGCCATAAGCATGTTTTCCATGCCATTCCATTGCACTTCATCCCACCATGCGTTTCATTTCTTAACATTCTGGCTGTGGTTCACCAAATGGGCTGAAGTTTGAACACTGGCCTGGACACTGAGCTGGCTGCCTGTAACCTCGGGAGAGTTTGACTCCCCGCTGAGTCCCCAGGCACAGCACAGTGCCTGCCGCACAGGAAGGTGCTCCCTCCATATTTGTTGTTATTTGTTGCATGGCCGTGCAAATAAGTGAATGAATGGCCTACCCCACCCAGACAGGAAAGTGTGGCTTTGATCAGATTCTTCCGTTGCTGAAAAAAAAAACCAGCCCACTTCCTGTGGCTTTGATCTCCGCTTTCATTCTGAACTGCCCTGCCTCAGCCAACAGCTGCCCGGAACTCATTTCCTGCTCTTGGGCCACCTTATCTCTCTCTCCAAATACTCCTGAGCTTTCTCTTTCAGGGTGCGTAGGCACACCCCCAGGTCCTCCTCCCCACACCTTTTGGCAACAGGGTGGGGCTGACCTCTTGACTGGGTTAAGTACTTCCCAAATCTCAGCCCCCCTGGGGTGCAGGGCATTTCTGGGCCAGGTGTGTCCTTCTGCCGGATACAGGTCCACATCCTGCTGACGGTCTTTGGGGGCAGGAGAATGGGGATGGGGGATAGACATGGATGAAATAACCATGCGAAGTCTAATGATCAACTGTAAAAGATGTGACAGAGGAAAATTCGAGGCTACCTTGAGAATGTGTGCCCCTGAGGATCAGGGAGGGCTTCCCCAAGACCGAGACAACCTGAGACCTGAAGATGATGGGAGTTAAAGAGGCAAAGGGGGTAAAAGAGAGAGAAAGAGCTGACAGGAGGTGAGAACTGCAATTGCAAAGGCCCTGAGGTAGGAACAATAGCATCCACTTGAACCAAAGAGAACTAAGTGAGCCTGGCTGGTGTGGCTCAGAGGCTGAGCATCACGGGTTCGATTGCCGGTCGGGGCACATGCCCGGATTGCGGGCTCGATCCCCAGTGGGGGACATGGAGGAGGCAGCCATTCAGTGTTTCGCTCTCATCATTGATGTTTCTATCTCTCTCTCCCTCGCCTTCTCTGAAATCAATAAAAATAGGTAAAAAAAGAAAAAGAAAAAAGAAAACTAAGCACTTCTGGTGCCCAAAGAATGAGGGGCTTACAACCACCGAGGCTGGAGATTTTGGATTTATTCCAAGAGCAGTGGGAAGCAACAGTGTTTGAAGAATGATGATGACACTCTTTAGAAAGCTCATTTGGCTGCAATATGGCTGAAGGATGGGGTGGTGGTCCAAGTGAGGAAGCTGGGAGACCAGTCGCGAGGCTGTGGCAGCTCCAAGGGGCAGCCCCTTTAGGGGGGTGGTGGTCAAGGTGCATCAAGTGACTGGCCTTAAGAAATACAGTATTTCCTCCGTCATTTGTTCGTTCAATGCTTTTAAATACCTACCGGGAGTCCGCTCTGCCTAAGTGCCCTGGGGAGCCAGAGTCAGGCTGGGCTCTGCCTTCAGGCAGCTCGCATCTCTCTGGGAGGACAAACTAGGGCCAGGGAGGCCAGAGTGTAAGTGCAAAGTGCTCAGGGAGGTTCAGATGGCACGAGCCCCAAGGCACAGGCCCAGAGGGAGTGTGGGCACCTGTAGTGGGTGCTCTCCTGCAAACGCTGTTGGTGAGAAGTCAGGAACTGTCATTTGCAGGATTCAGGCCCCAGGAATCTCCCCTGTGCCCCGAGGGCCTGTCTCCCTTTGCAAAGGCCCTTTTCCTGGGCGCAGTGGGGTGTGGGAGGGCACATGGGTCTCCCCAGTGCTGCTAGGCCAGGTGAGGACGTGTCCAGCCCCGGAGGTGTCCCTTTCCTCTTCCTGCCTGAGTCACCTTCCTTGGAAGCACAGTGACCCCGCTTACTCAGGGAGTCCACCCTTCCCCCGCCCTCACGTGGCCCTGCCCTTTGCCGGGGGAGGGATCGTGGAGGAGCCCTGAGATGTGTCAGTGAGCAAGCCCAGTCCCCCTCCCGCCCCCCAGGTAGGGCCTGGGTCTCCCCCTTGGGGTGGGGATGGGGATGTTTCTTTTCCTTGAAATGGGCTTCTGAACAGCTGTGAGGAGTGCCCCCTCCCAGAGGCCTTGTTGACAGTAACCTCCCTGCCCCCCAAGCCCCTCAAAAGGCTCTGAGGGCCCCTCTGGATGTAGGGGATGGCACATGGTGGGGCTGGTTTGTGGGGCTGCAGCTGCTGCCTCCCCGTGTGTCCTCCTGGTGCCCAGGGCTGTCGGTGGTTCTAGCAGGACCCCTGTCTGTGTTCTCAGACTTCAAGGTGCTTCCCCATAAAGGCCCTGGCCCAGGCCTTGCTGTGCCTGGGAGCGCGGGCAGGATGTGTGGGGCTCCTAGGGACTCATGGAGCACAGGCCTCTGATGTCGGGGCTGGTTTTCCTGTCCGCCCGCCGGGGTGCTGACAGCAGGGCTCCCTCCCTGCCTCCTGCCTGGCCTCACAGTCAGCTTCACAGACCAGGTCAGCTTCACAGACCAGGCGACGCTGCGCACAGGAGGAGGAGGAGCTGCCCCTGGCGGGGCAGGGGGAGAAGGGGCTCTGCTGGCCAGCACCAGGGGCTCTGGCAACCCCACCACTGGCCCCCACCTAGGGACCTCCTCCTAAATTCCAATTTAAACACGCACAACGGAAAAGGATTGCAAATAAACCCCGGACAAAGATATTCCCAAGAAATTCCTAGGATGCCAGGCCCTTTGTGCACACAGACGTTTGCCAATTCATGTAGATTAATAAAACAGATAAGTAGAAGCTAATCCA